TATGTTTAATTGGGTTACAGATTTGTCATTTGCTACCATCTTGGCTCGACGAATCCACAAACTTCTTCAAGAAAAAGATGAGCGGGCTGGAATGAAGGCAAGTGATTGGCTACGCTCGGAGGCTTTAAGCGGTACAGGAATCCAAGAGAATGGAACATTCAGGAAAGCACTGTGGCAGAGGGTCTACTCATCTGTGATTCCAATCCTTTCTGAGGTTATCGCCGTTGTGGACCGTGATTCAAACCTGGAATTGGTAAGAGAGGAAGGTAACTGGCTGTCACGTTTATGGATACAACTTTTCCAAAGCCACAGCATGGTCGAGTTTCGTTACGATGGTTTCCTGTCACTTGAAAATGGCGTCATACGGGAACGTGTGCCGGTGATCACTGCTGGTCGTGAAAGGCAGGTGTTTGAGCTGCAGTTTCCTTTCTCGTGGTTGATTAAGGAAAAATTTGATGACATGTGGAGGGGCGCATGCAGCATTGCAGGTAAGCGGTGCTTTGATTCTGCCCTTTAAATGACTATATTCCATTTTATTATATGGCCAGCTCCGTGAGCGGGCAAGATAAACCGAATCCTGCGCTATCTTGCCCGCTTGGGATTACCCGCTGTGCCCCACAAGAAAATAGTGTTCTTTTTCCATATAATAAATCCTTTATTGACCAAGCTTATTCGGTCAAGATGGCTGGATTTTGGCCTTTGTTCTTTTTTGCGTGTCTATAAACAACTTTCAACTTTCATCTCGGTCCAAATATACGCAAAAAAAAAGCCAATGTCCAGCCATCTCGACCTCACACTTGGTCAATAACTCATTTATGATATCTTTCAGTTACTACGAGCGCTGTGATTGGTCAATTTAGAGAGTCGTACTCTGCTGTACGACCCGCTTAAATTTAAAGCTGTTTTTGTTGCCAAAATGTTTCGTAATTCATCGCTTCTTCTTAATTCATTCTTCTTGACTTTTATAGCAAGTAAAAGTTTAAAATGTTCTTTTACTTTAAATTGTGTATTTAAACGTGCTAACGACTTAACAACGATTACAAATTGACTCGTTTTTTGAGGAGAAAAGACTCGGTCCGTAACTTACAGTACGTACTTCGAACTCGGTTAGTAAGAGGTATTTCTTGTCACAGTGAAAAATATAATAGCGTACGTTTGCTTTGTACCAATCAATTATTTTTAGAACAACACCAATGGAGCCTTAACAATAGAACTGAGTAAAAAATGAATGATTTGATCTTCCCAGTTAATGGCATTGCCTTTTTGGCCAGAGAGCAAATTGCTCCATTTAGGCCAGAACTTTTAACCTTAATAAAATATTCTTTAAGTCAATTTTTACTCTCGTAATGAATATATGAATATATGAATATATATGAATATATGAATATATATGAATATATGAATATATATATATATATATATATATATCTATATCTATATCTNCAATGGAGCCTTAACAATAGAACTGAGTAAAAATGAATGATTTGATCTTCGCAGTTAATGGAATTGCCTTTTTGGCCAGGAAGCAAATTGCTCCATTTAGGCCAGAACTTTTAACCTTAATAAAATGAGAGCAAATTGCTTAATTGCAAGTTTTCAGGCTGTAAAAAATTCTCATTCGATAACTATTGTTTGGTATTAGGTACATTTTTTGCTTACAATCTGCTAACATAATTTCATTCAAGTTTCAACTGCATTTCATTTGTCCTATCTATATATATTCATTACGAGAGTGAAAATTGACTTAAAGAATAAGAGAACCTTTCATGGATTGGGAAAAAAATGTTGATTACGCTATGTAAACGAGTTTCCACAGCTTGGCCATCTTGTTAATGTACGTTGTTGTTCAGTTGGAAGTGATACCATGGGTAATCTTT